TCACTGAGTGATCGCTTGGGTTTCAGTCATAAATAGCCTGAAATGGGTAAAATGTGGTGCTCTGCATATATAGGTGGTTTAAAGCCGTTATCCTGACCTCTGTGCTTGTTGGTCAATGACTCTAACCCCTGTCTATTTTTGGTTCTAGTTCCTTTCAAGGTGATGCGTGGATCTTATATTCCAACCTAATCCTAGATCCGTCATGGCCTATGTTAAGACTTTGTCGTAGACTTGAAGCTGATACATAAGCCTTATCCTCTTGACATGGCTATCATTCTTGATTACTTGTTTATTTACGCCTGTCAACCCTCGTGAAGGAGCACAGGCCGCCAATAAACATTCTCTATTCTACGCAATCCTTTCCAGTTCTTCTAAGTTGCTATTCATCCTTTTCATATCTGCCTCCACTTCCCGACGCAATATGTTCTTAGGCCTTACTCTTTTCCGTTTCCCTTCAGGATTATAAGTTCTTACCTCGTGATGTAGTTTAATGATTTCCATAATGTATATCCTATCCACCAACATCCTTTCCTAGTTTCCTGTTCAACTCGGAACTGCTTTGTTTTCTCCCACAGTAGGCTATAGCTGATTGCACCCGGCCAATGGACATTGAGTATCTTGTGTATACAACTGTTTATAAATACTTGTACATTTTTTATGATGGTTGTGGTGGTTCGCAAAGTTTCAGCTCCATACAGAAGAATTAACTGTCTTGAAGTTCGTATTGAAGATTGTGACTTTAGTGTTAACTTGCAGAGAGTTCTTTTGGGTTCCATATGTTCTTATCTCCTACAACCGTTAGACAGCTTAGACCAAACGCTTCTCAAAATTTCGTTAGGTTCCCAAATATGTTTTCAAACCTCTTCACTTCTGACTTCTGATTTGACTGGGTTGACACACTCTGATTATAAAAGTTATTGTGAGTGCAGATGTCGTCAAACTCCGAATACTTGTAGCATACTTATGTTTGTGACTTGCTCCATGATTTGGGTCTCGGACTTTATGGTGACTGATATGACGAAAAGAAAAGTAAGAATTCGATTGATTTACTCACTATGAGTCTTAACTAACATTACTTCCGTTTTGGTTCAATATGGTGATAATTCAATGTAGTATTTGTTTTGTTTTCTCGTATGATATTTTATTCTGTATAATATACCGTATTCTTGCATTCAAATGACATGAACTATGCTCAGCATGTGATTTGTTATAACTGTAAGTATTTTTCAGATATGTGATTTCATCCTAATTACTGATCAAAATGGGTCTACGAATCAATATATAAATTAGTGTATTTTCGACTAGCGTTGTCCTCGTCTTTTGGGGGTTAATAAATCTCCACTTGCACCAGTCTTTGTGTTTTTACTTTTGCGTTCAGGGAATCGCAGAGTCCCTCGTTTCCGGTTAAATCGATAAGCGTTTCGGACACAAGAGTCAGCCACGATCAGATATAACAAGCAGCATTCAAACGACAAGATATATCAGTGGCGACGGGAATGCGATCAAAAGAACAAGACTTATCAATGACCTGCTCTTGTTTCTATGGGGGAGGACGTTTCTCGACCCATCTCAGTTTTGTTCTGAGGAATGATACTGAGAGCAGTACCAGTATCCTTCGAAAATTGCAAGCCTGAATTTTTTTCTCAAACATAAAACAAGTGACTGTTCAGGTCTCCCTCCCCTGTTGTCGTGACCTGTGGGGGATTTTCTTGTTTCCTATGCTCTTGGGAGTCTGTTTAGGCCAGGAGCATGGCTGACTGCACTTGGTTGATTTGACACCAAACATCCAGTGATACTAACAGAACTGCCCAGAATATCTGAACATTCGTGACCTGTTCTGTGACTTAGATCTTGATTGTTGTGGTGACCTGTTCCTGTTTCTGTGACTCATTTGCATTATGAAAACAGCCTACGCGTAACTTTCAACACTCACAATGAGTCCTGATATTTCTGGGTTTTTTGATGGTCCTTATTTTTGAGTATTATGTGTCATGCGTTATTCGATTGGGAGAAGTCCTATTGTTCTATCTGCAACACGCGTTGAGATAAAGAGGTGTCAGTGACTTGAGCATACAAACAGTGTTGGACGTAGCATGGCAGAGCTCGTATCCATTCTTGTTTTAGGATTGCTATGCCCACCGTGTTGTCATCCACTAAGACTTGGAGGTGACGCAAAAACAGTGATAGTGATCTATAACCTAACGCTCCCCCTTGAAAAAGCCTTTGAATTCTTTGGCCATCTGATAATGATAAAGGGTTCTTTTATCTCTCGTCTTAGAATGGTGTATGTTTGTGGTGATGGTGGACATAAAACAAATTGCGGACTTCCTTGACGGAACATAAATCTTGGTAGCGAATTCCTTCAGATTCAGTAATTTGTCTCGTGAAATAATGCTCTAGATGAGCAAACCACAACTCCGGGTCACGACAATGAAATTATGGGAATCGGACTTTCGTAGCTATAACAGTGTCTATCCCTATCGGTGACTCAAATCACTCCTCGCTTTCTTCTACACTGAACAACATCGCCCGTTGAGGTAGGCAGTAGTTGAGCACTCATAACACGTATCCAAACCACCTCAGTCGATGAAGATTTTCTACCTTATCAGTTTATTCGTCATCGGTACATTGCATCTTAACCCTATCCTAGGTATTGATTGCTCAGTGGTGTCAAAATACACGAGCTATGCCTCGAAGACAACTATAATCAAATACTATTAACCTGTGAATATTCTCTGTCCATAGTGTTTATTCTCCATACCCAGAAGGCAGAATGGAATGAACTGTTGCATAGTAAACTCACTCTTTGGTTGTTGGGTGGATACCTCGCCTAAGCCACAAATGAGGCAAGTTAATAAAAGCCAGTTAAGCTTTTTAACCGGCGTCAAAATTTCATTGGACACCAACCAAACGGGATTTATGAGACTGGCGAGATGAATGAGGTGTTAGACATACTCAACTACTCCACTCCCTATCGTGAGTTTAAGTGTTGACACAGACCAGTCCTAGGGCAAACTTTTGCATTTGAAGCGAAGGATTCTCATACCAAAAACGCTCGGACTGTCGTTCAAGGAAATCAGAAGACTGAACTTTTTCTGTGTCTTAACCAGACAGCACTATATTGTCTGCGTATTTTAAGTCAGCAAGTGAATCTTTTGGTATAATAACCACTGAAATGTCAGGTGATGAGAGCGCTATCCCCGAAAGTACATTTGACAAAGTTGTGTAGAAGTGGAGAGAAGGGACGGACATGAAAAACACCACTATATGCCGATAATTTCAATGATAAATCATCATAAGCTCTAACTTAACGTATAGTGTTCCAGTAGAGAACCTGTACAGAGTTGATAGGATTATTTGGTACACATTTCAGTAACAGACACTTCCATGAAACCTGACAACCTACGGAGTTTGGTGCCGCCCTAAAATCAAGGAATACCACTACAGTCGAAAGTTCACATGAATGTCTATGTTCAAGAGCCTGGAGAAGGGTGAATCTCTGGTCGATCAATCTATATCAAAATCTGAAGCCAGCCTATATTTCTTGGGATTTCACTTCACAGGCTCTAGTTAAGCACCGTCGTGTTAATGAAATTAATATTTTAAATAACATACTAGTAAAACCGATCCCTCGAGTTGACACAGGAGGTTTTTCGATCTTCATTGAAAACCGAGACTATTAGCTATCGAGACCAGGCAGATGGGATTGTGATGCCGGTCAATTTAACTGCGAAATATGAACCATCATCCCTAAAGATCTTGGGGATCAGTCCATCAGCACCTACTGCTCTCCCTTACTCAGGGTTGATTGTAATATTTTGAACGTCATTAAGAGTTAAGGGACCTACGCTAAGTCACCATTTGGGCTGCAGGGAGATGATGAGTGTCTGAAGTGTGACTGAAGGTCATTGGATTTCAAGTGTACTTTCAAAAGCGTCATATTCAAGGATCTATGTAAATGGATCCCAAAAATAATTGGGAAGTATTTAGTCATCATGAGTTATTTGTAAGTACCTCAAAAATGTCAGCTTCTAAAAGCTTAGAATTGTCGAGGTGGACTGGAATCCTTAGAATTAGTTTATTTATATTACCTAACTACGTCATAATCCTGGAATACGGTTAACTGGAAACGTATGTAGTATTAAGTTGAAGATATACCTCCTAATGACTTCCTATTCTGCTCACTCTAACACGGTGGTCGAACGATTTTTCACCTCTGGTGCGATTTAGGTGACGAATTAAATCATATCAGGCAGAGATCGATTTAAATTTTAATGTAAAGAAAGGGTGATATAGACCGTTTGCAACCATACTGCTTCATGCTCCGATCGCACTTACCCAGTTATTCAACCTACACAGGTTAATATTGACCTTTTTGAGTTGTGATACTCTGTTTATCGCCAAGTGACCGGTTTCAAAAATTGGTATTAGAAATTCACCTATACTGTTAGATTACTAAGGTACAGGCTTAAGTTATCAGAGATGTCACGGATATTCAGGGCCTGACACCGCTTTTGGCCGTAACACATTTGTAATCAGAAGGTCTCAAACTCAGCCAAATCATAAGTCAATAATAAAGGAGTTTGAAGAAATATTTGGAACGTATTCGATATGTCATGAGCATTGAACACATCTGGCTTTTAATTGTAATGAATGCCTAGCACAGTGTGCTCAGTGGTGTTCTGATGAAGATGCATGAACAACGCCTTCAGCCGGGGTTTGTTCAGTAATACTAATGAGGTCAACATTAATGTTGAAGGCTTACTGAGCTGTTGATTTGGGGATTTATTTAACCCTACAATGTCATCAAGAATATCTATTGTTACGTCGAACGGTCAAGTGGTTGTATAAAGCGTATAAAAATACTGAGTTATAAGAGAAAAGTCTTTTTTGTGTGTTACTGGAAATTTTGTTTGTAATTGGATTTCGATCGTCTGTATAACTTCGTTTAAAAGTACACCTCGTTATTTGAGGCGGTCAACACTAAAAACTGACGCAGGATGACTACTGAAAATGGTTTGTTAAGTGATCATGTCCTCTTACGATTATCTCTTTAGGTGAAATTCGCCGTCCAACTATTGCTGATCGTGAGGATGAATATCGTTCGCGTCGTCGATTGCTGATGATTTCTCCAGCAAGAGTAGACCCTTTCGCTGACGGTATGTATACAAGCAACGTTTTTATTGTTTATCAGCATATATCCTTAAGTTATTACCCCATCTAAGAACGAATTTCTTTTTTTTGTATAGCGATGTGGTGTCCAGCGGGGCTTGTTTTTTGTGTAAGGTTAGGGCGTTTGGTAAGTGCATATGATTAGGTGATTGTTTAGTTCTTATACATTCTACGCAATCCAAACTCTTTTACAGCGATTTCGCATCATTCAACCTTGAAGCAATCTCTTGGTTCGGAAACGATGGCCCCGGATAAACCCATCACGTGCGTCATTTTTTTTACATAATATTAAATTATGTGTATAGTTCTCTAATGCCTAATTTGTCTTTGCTTCTTTTTATTTATATTTATTTCTGCGCACCACTGACAAATAATTTGATGAATTGGCGTTTGTAGGCGACCAAACACCGGATCACCGTCTATCAACGTACAAAGATATCATGCTCAATCAGCAACTCACCAAGGAACAACGAGCATTACAGGCAGAGATAGCCGAAAGAGGTAAGACTGGGACGCTACGAATGGATTCAGAAGTCCCCACAAAAAGACGTAGATGGGATCAGCCTACCACAGATGTCAACGGCACCAAGAATGACGCACCAACTCCTGCTGCTACTCCGTCAACTCCTTCGAAGCGTTGGGGGGATGACGCACTCACTCCTTCACGTCCACCCTCTACACTTACAGGAGCCTCAACCCCTGGAAGCCGGTCACAGTGGGATGACACTCCCGGGAGAGCAAAAGACCCTGGCGCAACCCCTGGACAAAGCGTTAGGCAATGGTCAGAAACTCCCCACTTTGCAGCCACCCCAGGTCGAGAAACAGGAAGTTCTGCATTTGGTGTAAGTATTGAAACCAGTGGATTTCATGCAGCTAACTAATTCCTCGTGCTAATACTTTCGATTTTTTCCTGTTCTAGGGTACACCTAGTGCTAGACGTAACCGTTGGGACGAAACTCCTCACACTGAAAGGTATGGTGCCGACACACCAGGTCACGGTACTGGTTGGGCTGAAACCCCCAGAGCTGATCGAACTCCTGGCGGTGTAGAGTCAATTCAAGACACACCATCTTCAATGGTTTATGGACCAGGTTCCACTCCATCAAGCATTGCTGCTGCGGCCGCACTTGCCGTTAAGCGTAGATCTAGATGGGACGAAACTCCGCTAAAAGCAGGATCAACTCCAGGTGGCTTAACACCATCTCAGGTTAGTAGCAGTAATGTATTTCGTCTGTAGACTTCATATTCGTGCAACAAATGGTTTTATTTTTACTGTGTACCTTTTCGTATTAAAAATTTCGAATTCAATGTAAGACTTCGCCTTTGGCAAACAAAAATGTCTACCAACAATAATTTAGTGCTGACTTATTGCTGATAACTAAGAACATTTCACTATTAGCAACAAATTCAGTAGTACCAAACGATAAGCATTTAAATCACGTGTACGGTACTCCCTGAATTTATCAAGTCAGCCTATCAAATAAACATTTCTGTAGACTTCAATACGTATCTAACAAATCCTAAAAAGTTAATTTCCAAGGTTTAAACAAAGCAAAGAATAAGTTGAATGATTTCCAAACTACTTAAAACAATGACCTGGATTATCCTTGAATTATTTGAGGAAAATATTTGGGAATGTATCAGTTATGCACGTAGTTGCTTTCTCGTTTTGTTTTCATGATTTCGTTAGGTTTTCGGCCCTAAGTACTCACAGCACCTGTAGGTTGCAGTTTTCAAGAGCACCTTAGTGGTTTTGTATTTCATTATGATATAAAAACGTGTATCATCGTACCACTCACTGTTTCGAGTTGCCTAAAATGTACTGATGAAAGTCTGTTAAGGATAAGCCACTGGCGTGCCGTATAAGTTAATAAAACAGTGTAGTCCACAAGTTGGTCTTCAAGTTTCAACGATCATCTATATGTCAGTTCTCTCGCAGCAAATGTGTCGCAGAAACTAGACAAAGCCGATGCACATGTATGATTTAGATCCCCATGATAGGTGTCATCGTTCTTTATGGTTTTCATTTTTAGACTCCGGGCAGCTTCACACCGTCAAGTGCCATGGGGGGGATAACACCAGGAGCAACTCCTGGAGGCTTTAATGCAGCCAGCGCTTTCACTCCTTCTGGAACTACTCCAACAGGTTTACGGGCTATGGCTATGGCTACACCAAATTTCGGGTCTGCTGCCATAACAATACCAGGAGCAGGAATCCCAATGACTCCCGAACAGTTACAAGTATATGCTTGGCAGAAGGAAATCGATGATCGAAACAGACCGCTAACTGATGAGGATTTGGATGAGTTGTTGCCTCCAGGTACGAGTTGTTCGGTTTTATTAAGTTATTCACTGAATTCCAATTATTTCTCTCACCAATCTTTGAAAATATGAACTTATTTGTAGCGGATAAAACCTACTAATTTACTGAATCCATCATCTCTACCATGCCAAGTATATTTAAGCAACATATAATAAGTTATCATATTTGAGACAAAAAATAATTATGAGCTTTTAAATAGCTAACTGCTACTCCCACACTATGTCGGGTTTTCTAACATAAACCTTTAATTATTTATCATTGGTTAGACGACAAACTAACGATTATTTCTGCCTCTAAACATCATTCACGGTGGCCTACACGTCCCTTAATTCATGTTCACTCATCTCATACTGTGTATTCTTCGATAAACATTAATGAACGGTTTATGACATGGTATAAGATAAGGGTGGTTCTGTCACCTCTACATTTTTCAACACATTTTGACTAGATGAGATTCCAAAGATTATGCGCGTCATCAAATGTCTCAGGATAAAGGCTAGTATCATTCGTGCTGTTGTCTGTTGTATTGGGTGTAAATAAAATCGCGTTCTTACCCTAACTATCTCATTACCTGTTGTTTTTTAAGGGTTTTGTGATTTGTTCTCAATGTCATCTTTTCTTTCTGTGCGGGGCATATTTGGTGGTGCTTCATTATAAAAAAACATTCCTCCCAACTAATTATGCCGAATAACAACGCCCTTTGTTAGTTGGCGGGTCAGTACTTAATACATCCATACCATTTTATTTGGTGCACACTTACAAGTTCGTTTATCTATTTGACTTCCTTGAATGACTGCCTTTATTTTTACGCCAGTCACCTGCGATTCCGGTAGATCGCGGACTTGTAATTTTTATCGTACATGAAGTCAAGATCAAAACTACCTAGTCTGTCGGTTATTAATGTTATTCGTTTCAGTTAGCTTCACGACCGGGATTAGTTTCATGTCTGCATTTCATGACAAATGAATAGATCTTTACTGCTGTTAACTAACCAACATCAATAACAATCAAGTCTCATTTTTTCGGCTACAGTTGCACACATAACTGTCGAGTAAACAATTTTGTGTATAAAATTTAATATACTGATTCACTTGTCTCCAGGTTATAAGATTATGCCACCGCCCGCCGGTTACGTTCCAATAAGGACTCCTGCTCATCGACTGGTAGCAACACCAACTCCAATGATTGGAGGGACGCCAATGGGCTTTAGAATCGGCACACCTGACATTGGGACAACAGCTGGGTTCGGTATGAATGCAACTGGAGGTAATGCTGCGGCTCTTGGTGACATGCAACCGAAAGGAGCTAATTTACCCATGATGAGACCTGATGATCTACAGTATTTTGATAAGCTGCTACAAGTTAGTTAATGTGAATGCTTATTTACAATTTTATTACGCCAGAAATAATTTCTATTCAGTAAACATTTTTTTTGGAACTATCTTTTTTCGTGCAAGTTTAGTTAAAAATCTTTTGAGAAGTATACAAACACCTAACTTGATTGTTCTAAACCATCATGATGTTTCGACAAAACCTTGTTTCATTATTTTTCAGTACTTTAATCACTAATGACTGTCGTGAAACAGTCTTAATAGAAGTGTTAATGGTTGGGAAGTAGGTCTGTTCCCTTGAGTACATTTTAACCCATGGTTTACGGATCATGTCACCTTACTTTGTTTTAGTATGCAGGATCCTCAAGCTTCAGTTTGTCACTAGCATCTATTGTATGCACTTTATATTATCTGCGAAGAACGCTTTTTTCAGGATTAGTAAACTATCTTAACAGTTGTAATCCATGTTACATAACTCACTCTTAATTGGAAATTCGCAGTCATTTAGACTACCCATCATCTCTGCACAACTTTTGATATCTTAACATCCGTCTGTCAGAAGTCAAATTTGTTACTTCGATTCATGTAATCTAGACATATACTTGTAACGCCCGATTGCTCCAAGCTTAAAATTACGAAATAATTCCACATGTTCAAATACCACAATCTCTGTAGGACTAATCACTCATTTAAAGTGGTTGTTCTGAACCTCTGTGTCACATGTTAAATCATGTTGGGAATCGACATTCACCTGATGTAGTTGTCTTTTAACACTGACTTTAGTGTTTTAAATACATTCTTAAGGTATTACGCATCATTTGATTCATAGATCCACTTGTTCAAACTCGTACATATAGGTCTATTTATTTTATTTATTTTAACACACAGATATTGGTACAAGGAGACAACAAATACATATGCGCCACACAGATCTTATTTAATATATGTTAGGGCTATGATACTGCCCGGGTGCCCAAACCGAAGCAGGTGGTTTTATTGGGGGGCCACACCCCGAGCCTTCGACCTAAAGGTCTGACCCACAAGGCAGGGGAGCATCGTAAGGAGATGCAGCCCCATGGTAGCCGGTGACCAACGATTGGTTCATACGCAATTTGTTCCTTCAGGGTACTGTAGCCCATGTGTACCACTGGTTTGGAATCAGGGTTTACCAACTCCCCTAGATGGACTCTCCGGGTCCACTAATCCGGTTAAAGCGCTTCTCTTCCTCTCCATTTCGTAAACAACACCCCCCACCACAAGAAGGCAGTGAGTAGGACTTCCTTTGGAGTGGCTGTACACGCGTGGCCACGTGAGAGCATTTGGAGGTATATATCAAGTTGCATCTCATTTTTCGTACGAGTTTTTTGTTAGTTTTTAAAATACGTTTTGTTTTTTGTTAAAGGATGTTGATGAGGACACTCTCCCACCTGAGGAGGCACGTGAAAGGAAAATAATGACATTTTTACTCAAGATAAAAAATGGTACTCCTCCAATGCGTAAATCAGCCCTAAGGCAAATCACTGAGAAAGCAAGAGAATTCGGTGCAGGACCTCTGTTCAAACAAATATTACCCCTTCTGATGTCTCCTACATTAGAAGATCAAGAACGCCATTTGTTAGTCAAGGTAACTTGGAACTCTCAATTAATTATGTCTACACTCTCAGCACTTTTGTTTATACATCTACGCAGTTTCTTAATTGTTTTAAACCTGTTTCATTATTACAAATATTTGTTGTCAAATTTATTTCTATGCTTTCTTTTCAGTATGCATTTAAAATTCAGCACCACTTTTCAATTTAATAACATCCAATCTGTAGGACTTTATAATACTGCTTTAAATAAAAATAAAGGGAAGGCAATTACACTATGTAGTGTTTATTGTTATTCATTTTTATTCATAAATTGTATGGTTAACCTCAGAAAGTCTTGTCAGGTTTGTTTCATGTTCTGACTTTTTTATCTTACCCAATATTCAATGTGTGCACTAGTGTATACTACATTATGTAAAAGAATTTAAGGTATTCATAATAAACTGTATAATGCAAATATAAACTTAGTTGTCTTAACACGGTCCGCACGAGTAACGAAGACATCTGACGAGACTATAATTTGCGGACATACCAAGCAAATTCAAGATAGCAGGTCTTGGATTTAGGCGCAAAATTCATTCACTCATTTGGCTGAATGACATTTTGGGATTATAGCTGGTGTCGGTCCGTGATGAAAACCTCAACTGTAGTTCCTAACCTTAACTTCCGATTCTAAGTCCCAATCCCAATATCGCATTAATTTACAACCCACCCTCTTTAGATCCTAGTAGGGAGAATTTCCTTACAGTCACTTTGGTGTCTCTCAAAGGTCATTCTTAAACTATAGTTCCACCCATTCATCTATAACTATCGTGCATCCAATATTGTTGTTGGAACCACTTCTATCTTCTTGAAAATCCAAACAATTCTATGTGTCGTCTATAGCTTTACTATGACCTGCGTCAGACCCATTTTTAATCCTTTTATTTAGTATTAGATAATTACGGTGTAATGCATTTTTAGTATCAAATTTGAGTCATAACCACACAGTCCTGTCATCTTATGTACTTTATATTAAACCTCCAGGTAAAACAAATATGAGTTTTATTAACCTTATTTCGGTAGGTCATCGATCGTATTTTGTATAAACTGGATGATCTTGTCCGCCCTTTTGTGCACAAAATTTTGGTTGTTATTGAACCTCTACTTATTGATGAAGATTATTACGCTCGTGTCGAGGGGCGAGAAATAATATCTAATCTCGCGAAAGTAAGTGAAAAAAGTATGTTTGTACATTGATTTCCCATATTAAGTGATAGTATGTTCAATTAATATAAAGGCAACTAAAAGTAATGAAACCCGAAAAAACGGCTGCAGAAGAAACAAAACTAACTTCACTTGTGTATATACTAAAGTCCAATCTACGCAAATGAACCTATATGGCGACAATCGTGTACTACGGATGAAAATGGCGATCATTTACTTAAGCTTTCATCTCAAATACATATGTCATGCAGATGCACTTGCCTTTTTCAACTTTTATCTGCTTCCCCACTTGTCTTGCTTTAAGAAGCATTGTGACTACAAAGATTACGCTTCTGTTGTTTTGCATCTAACGAGTATTCTTATTAATGACAGTCATTACGTTTGCTTAGTAGGACCCGTTATTTTTATATTAATGCTTAAAATTCGTCCAATTCCTTATCTGCATACTATTTTATCGCTTTACAACACACTGACGCATACGTTGACACTTTATTAAAGTTTATTCACATTTAATAATGAAGTTATCAACAAAACTTAGTTTGAAGATGGTCAATACATAAGTCAACATATCTCCAAAGATTTTAATATCAAGTGCTCGTTCCTTTTTAAAATTTCCCTTCTATATGCATCATCAACCAAAATTCAGGTAACTTTTATTGGTGATAAAAATATTCGAGGTGGGCCTCAGAAAAGCATACAGTTCAAGAAGTAAAGAACTGGGCGTGGGTTTGTTGCAACCGAAATTTCTCGTCACAGCAATAAAACAAAGCCAAATCAAGACATAACCAGATGAAAACAAATCACAATAGAGACACTGATTATTCCCGTATTAATACGATAATATAAATACACATAATTCAGCATTGGTGTAGTCGTGCTCTTTTTAAATACCGCAACTGTAGTGGAATTTATACATCAATCTATTTCATAAAAATTTAACGGGGATTGGATGTAAAGTTCATCTAATAAAAGCTATGTAACTCGTTTCCCGCTGTTAGCTGTAGGAAGTCCTTTCCGGTTTCGTTTTGTATTGTTTCAAAATTAAACTTTTGTTCAAATTAAATAAATCACTGAATTCTAATCAAAGTTTGTTATCTGAAAGGACATCTTCATAAAACTGACAGATTATTTTGTTTTAATGTAATCCAACTCAATACCCAAGTACTCATTCATGAGACCGATTCTTAGACCTATGTCGTTACTAGTAACAGTACCCCGTTGCTTGATGAAATTTAGGTTGCACATGCTTTAAAACCTAATGTAAGGCGAGCGTTAACTAACCTCTACTTGGTTAGTGCTGACTTATATTTCATCCATTTTAGGATGATAGTACGATAAGGGAGACAGTCATTTTTAAACTCGTTCCAAATTATATGTTGTTCGTGACTTTCATGTATAATTATGAGTAACAGTTTTTTTGAGTGAATAACCTGACATTTTACTATTTATATCGAATAGGCTGCCGGACTCGCTACTATGATTTCTACTATGCGCCCCGATATTGATAATATGGACGAATATGTGCGCAATACAACTGCAAGAGCGTTTGCTGTCGTTGCATCAGCCCTGGGAATCCCTAGTTTGTTGCCATTTTTAAAAGCCGTTTGCAAATCTAAAAAATCTTGGCAAGCTAGACATACTGGTATCAAGATCGTTCAACAAATATCCATCCTTATGGGTTGTGCAATTCTACCGCATTTACGGTCTTTAGTAGAAATCATTGAACACGGGTTAGTTGATGAACAACAAAAAGTTCGCACCATTACAGCATTAGCTTTGGCCGCTCTTGCTGAAGCAGCCACTCCTTATGGCATAGAATCGTTTGACTCAGTTTTGGAACCTTTGTGGCGTGGTATAAGAACTCATCGAGGCAAAGGTTTAGCCGCTTTCCTAAAAGCTATTGGCTACCTCATCCCTCTAATGGATGCAGAGTATGCCAATTATTATACCCGTGAAGTTATGTTGATTTTAATCCGTGAGTTTCAGTCTCCTGATGAAGAAATGAAAAAAATTGTTCTTAAAGTAGTCAAGCAGTGCTGTGCAACAGACGGTGTCGAACCTGATTATATTAAGTCAGAAATTCTACCACCGTTTTTCCGTAGCTTTTGGACACAACGTATGGCTCTAGATCGGCGCAATTACAGACAGGTATTCTTGCTTTACGTTTTTTGTTGTATTGTAATTTTATCTTGATGAATATTAATTTTTTGACCTCATATCCACAACAGAAAAGAACTCTTAACCTATCCAGTGCTTAACTCGATGTTCCCGATTCGCATTAATATTTGCTCGTACCAAGTTCCTAATCAGTCATAAACATTAAACTTGGCAAAAGTTCGCGCATACCCACATTCTCACTTTTCATACCAGTATAGAGGGCAGAAGTTAACAATATAAAGATTTTAAAAATGAGATGATAATAGTATCAGTAAACGTGAAAGAAATATAAGCTTGGTGAATATAGACCATAAGAACAAATAAAAGTCGAAAATGTATGGAATAATTTTGAAATCCAGAATATATAAGCAGATTAATTCAACTGCACCAGTTTGACCGATTTTCTGAAATGTCACTTAAAAGCTCTAGTCATAGGTTATGATTATCACGTTGATCCTAACCAACTAGTCTATATCTCTTGACAAGGCTTAGGACACCAGACAATTTTATGAGCTAGTCCCATATCTTAGTACTAGGTTTGTTAAAATAACCCATAGTGTCATTGAATAAGAAAAAGAGAATTCAGCGAAGAAAATTTTTTTCTTTTCGACGAAATCATTTACTTAAGCTGTACATTCGTATATATAGTTATATGGAAAATGTATGTCTATTGGAGGATAGAAAAAATTGCATCACCAAAATGGATTCGAGACTAAATGATTTCGTCGAAAAGAAAAAAAATTTTCTTCGCTGAATTCTCTTTTACTAGGTTTGTCTTTTTTGAATATAATTTATTATGAAATTCATGCCATTTATGTGCAAAATATTCAAATAAAATAGCATGACTATAGGCTGTTTGTCGGTTAGCGAATGGGTAGTCAATAATAGAAAATATAAGTCTCTAAACAACCAATGATTATTCATTTCTGGTTCTCAATGCTGTATTTTTTCTAACTTCAACAGAGTAAAACTTTACACACAATTATTTTAGACAAAATTAACTCTATATAGAGGTTGTGTAGCTTATAAACCAGTCAAATCAAAATTATATTTGATGATTTTCAAACTTGTTGAACTTGTCAATCACAGATTTCGCTCAAGACACCGGCTTCCAAATTGCTAATAAGAAAAACTGTCATAATTAACGGTTTAGATAATATACTAAAATTGTTGAAAAAGGAAAGAGGATTTGTCATACTAAAGTCTAAGCATCATTGATCTTCAGACCACCACTGCACTTATTTTTGAAGTCAATTAAACGTGTTATGCAATCGCTGATAGTAAAATATTTTATGTGGAGTACGACGAAGAAAATACCCAGATATGTGACATGCTAGTCGTATAGCCTCTTCATAATTGAGTATAATATTTCTCTTTCTCACCGTTTTATTAAGAAGTAATTGTCACTCAGCTCATTATCAATTTTCAGCCACGAATTTTAAAAAATAGCTTGGTCTTATTATATTGTACATAAAAAGATGCCTTATTTTCTATCTTATTAACTGTTAGCTGGTTGATACAACTGTGGAAATAGCAAATAAAGTCGGTGCAGCTGATATCATCTCTAGAATTGTAGATGACCTCAAAGATGAGTCCGAACCTTATCGTAAAATGGTGATGGAGACTATCGAAAAAGTTATGTCTGCACTAGGAAGCACAGAAGTTGATGCTCGACTTGAAGAACAATTAATCGATGGTATATTATATGCTTTCCAGGAACAAAGTACCGAAGTGAGCTACTTGTAAATATTTCATATTTCGAATAAGTAAATTGTTCGTCACTCTTTTGGATTACTATTCAGATGTTTTCCTTTCATAACTTAGCTTAAATTCACTAACATGAATCTAGAGTTTCTGAAGTATCCAGGGTTCAATGCAACTTCTGCTCGGTTTTATGCGTATAATCTTAAATGAGTAGTATCTTGGTAGTCATTATCTCCAAATTGTTAAATAGGGGGTTTACAAATCGAATTCAACAGTATAAGGTCCTGCTGAGTTTAGTAATCATGAACCACAGCCCAACTATCTAAACACCCGGTTTCCATCTAATGGGTTGCCCGTCAGTATAAATCTTGCTTTATTACCGGCTAGTCCAAATGCAAGTGTTAATGATGCTCCTCGTTCGTTGATTGACTTCTCTGTACTATTCATAGCGTGGTAGGCTTAGTCCTAAAATAGGTCCTTTAATCTCTGAAATGTTTTTTAAATGAAGGATATATGTTTGTTCAAGTTCCTTCAACTATACCACCTTGTTAAAACACCAAGCTGAATTCTTGTCGTTTGCTTGTTTTTAAGTACACTAAGCCACATTTTCACACTATAGACTTATATGCATTCTTTTGATATCTTTTATTACTCAGGACGCTGTCATGTTGATTGGTTTTGGAACTATTGTACAATCACTTGGTAAACGTGTTAAGCCATACTTGCCCCAAATATGTGGTACAATCTTATGGCGTCTTAATAACAAATCGGCTAAAGTTCGTCAGCAGGCAGCCGACCTTATTAGTCGTATTGCTGGTGTAATGAAAGTGTGTCAAGAAGAAAAACTAATGGGTCATTTGGGTGTAGTTTTATATGAATATCTTGGTGAAGAATATCCAGAAGTACTTGGGAGTATTTTGGGTGCCCTTAAGGCTATTGTAAATGTAATTGGTATGACCAAAATGACTCCTCCAATTAAAGAACTTCTGCCAAGATTGACACCAATATTGAAAAACAGGTTAGTTCTAAATGTTATTGTTCATTATCGCTAAATGGTATACAACCTGGTCGTCTTCAGTCAGGTTACCACCGACTTATATTTTGATCATCGGTTTTACTGATGTTTTTTCGATATCTGAAGATTGCGACTTTAAGCCTCTTTTCCATACATACAATTAAAATAATGAATGGTACTATTTAAACTCGTACCAATCTAACTCGCTTTTTTATTCTCTGAAGAAGCGACTTACACTATGTCACGAAACATCAGAAATTCAGTTGTCTAGTTACTGAGGTATTACAAGTATATGATCAATTTTCTTATCTAGTTAGAGATTGATAATAATACTCTTCTTGTTTTCTAGGCATGAAAAAGTAGAAGAGAACTGTATCGATCTTGTTGGACGAATAGCAGACCGTGGATCAGAGTATGTCTCTTCTAGAGAATGGATGCGTATCTGCTTTGAACTCTTGGAATTATTAAAAGCACACAAAAAATCAATTCGACGAGCAACTGTCAACACTTTTGGTTATATTGCCAAAGCAATCGGTCCACATGATGTTTTAGCAACTCTGTTAAATAATTTAAAGGTGAGTTGTTTAGAGTTTATTTGTCGAAGTCAGTTAGTTACTGTTTATTCGTTGTTATCTTCCTCACTTTCATTTGTGTTTTTCATTTTAATCTTCTTAATTCTTCTTTTCAGGTTCAAGAGCGTCAAAATCGTGTTTGCACAACTGTTGCCATTGCTATCGTTGCAGAGACATGTAGTCCATTTACTGTTTTACCCGGTCTTATGAATGAATATAGGGTTCCTGAACTAAATGTTCAAAATGGTGTTTTAAAATCTCTGGCTTTCATGTTCGAGTATATTGGTGAAATGAGCAAAGACTACATATATGCTGTAACTCCTCTGTTAGAAGATGCACTAATGGACCGGTAACTAAAAATTCTTTAATATACTCTCTTTCTATGCGGTTTTCTGACCTAATGTATTTTTCTTTTTAGTGATCTTGTGCACAGACAAACTGCAATGACTGCAGTAGCTCATATGGCTCTTGGTGTATATGGGTTCGGCTGTGAGGATGCTCTTCTGCATCTCCTGAACGTCGTTTGGCCTAATGTCTTGGAAACTTCACCACATGTCATTCAGGCTTTCATGTTTTGCATTGAAGGTCTCCGTGTTGCACTTGGTCCTAACAAAGTACTTCAGTATTGTCTTCAAGTAAGTTTTGCCTAAATATGAGATATTTAAATCTGTTGGCGAGTTTTTATCAGAGAATCCTATTAATTCAGTTTTTTACACTGTTTATTGAGTTTTCCTATTTCTATCCAAGGTATTGGGAACAATTAGTCTTTAATCATAATTTTGCACTTACACTTACCGAGAAAGAAATAAACATTTTCATAAGTGTTTTGAATATCTTTGTCCTATCACTTCTGAATGAGGTTATATTCTTTTTCAAACAAGAACTACATGGTGTCCAAAAAATCACCCTGTTGAATTTTTAAAAAATATCTTTCACAACTGTTAAAAAACAACCATACATAAGTCGAAACAAATGTGATATTTTTACCATGATCACGAAAACGATAAACGGTCCCTAGAATCAATTTTCTCCAACTTTAAAGCTTTTTATCAGCTTAGTTGAATAAATAGTGAAAACTTCCGATCCCCATATATCATAAGTTATTCTTCTTTTTGAAAAATATATTGTTTATTTTTAACAGGATATTTTACATATTTTTGTGTTTCGTTTTTCTCAGGGCTTATTCCATCCTGCTAGGAAAGTGAGAGATATGATGTGGAAAGTGTACAATACTATTTACATTGGTAATCAAGATGGCTTAGTTTATGGTTTCCCACGTATTCCTGACGAACAAGATCACACCTATATCCGACATGAATTGTCTTATATTTTGTGAAAATGTATTTGTCAGTATGATTAACCCTATTTACTTCTTATTTTCGCTCCCAGACTTTTATGTTTTTTTACTGTTGCATTCTCGTCCTTCAAATAAGTTTCTGATATCAGGATCTATTTACTCCTATGGTTTTACACATCGTCGTGGTGTTGTATTTAAACTAATTTTTTTCGGATTAATAAATCAGTTAAATTGACTCGTGTGTTTTCTAATATTCTATTCAGGTGGGTGTTGTGAGTGAATTTCTAACCTCATAATCTAGAAATTAATGTCACAAAGATTCCCTATGCTATTAAATCGCCATCGTTAATCTTTTACAATTAGGGATAGGAGCAATTCAAAAACTGATCGATGTCATGTTAAGTTTGACGAAGCCACTGTTTTATCTGCTAAATTATTAATAAAAAACGCTAATTTTCGGCGTCACCAATTTTGAGACTTACTATCCAGAATCTCTAGTTATCATTAACGCTTTTCTCGTGAACCCCTTTCAGAAAGTTTAGACCTCCTGTGACAATTAAGTTTTAAACCCACAAACGTACCTCTGATATTTGCTTGCAACAACATTTGTAATTAATCTCTGTTATTTGAAAATGAGTTTTTTGATCCTCGAAACAATAGGCTTACCAATACGAGTCACGCACTTCTACGTCATAGCTAGTTAATTCATATGTGATGTATTTGAATTCAAGTTCAAGTTGTAAGAAGAGGTTGGCAAGTAGCTTGTTGTCAATAAATTTGGTACAGAGAATAGTCATTTAGTCGGTGGTAAAGCTCACCGTATATTGTATTTTCTTGGGATGTAAATGAAGGTATAGTCTTCTAAGTGGAATTGAATCTTACAAGTCAGTGACAAGAATTGTTGTACTTGTACACTTAAAGGATTATCGTTGTCTGGGTCCTGGCATTTAGTACAAATTCAGTTAATCCTTCAGAATTCTCGGACTAAGGCATATGGAACATGTTTTCCAGACTGACAGATGACAAATGAATTATCATCTCTGTACTCTTGAATACCGGTCATCGAACTAACAGTCTTATTTCACCTTTGCTTCATACAGATTCGTATTTTTGTGTTGGTTATAAAATCATGCTTGTAAAAGCATTTTAAGAGACGGAGTGGTTACTCATCTTAAGTCTTATAGTATTTAAATGTAATAGTCATGTTGGTTAGTTGTAGAACTGAACTGTATAGGTGGTAAAGTTGGTTGACTCGACAGAAAGGTAACTAACGTAATCACGATCGTTTATGCTTACGTACAATGATATTGTATCTCATTTAACAAGAAGATTCTTGCTAGAGAGTAATAAATACATGTAACTGCCACCCCAAAGCCGACATAATATGGGTACCTTCGACTCTACTCTAATGATGACACTCGAATCTATAAGTCAATTAGCGAAAACTCCAACATTCATATATTTGTCTTCTGAATCCTTATTGCTGAAATGTAAGTATTTTTATGATTGCTTTATTCTGTTAAGCATAGACTTGAGGTGAGCTGTGCAGTGATACTTCAAAAGTTGATCGCCTCTTAAAATCACTTGTACGGTATTTGTTGAATATATCCGAACAAATTACTAGTTTTTGAAAGTTATTTCATGAGCATTTTCATTGTCTTTACATCCAGCGATCCGAATTATTGTAAATCAAATAGAGAAGTATGAAATGATTTTAAAACTCAAGATCCAACGTGGAATAAAGACTGCGCTTCATTGTGACCAATTTTGAAACTTGTCACCAGATATCCCCAACCACTTTACGGTTACATTGCATAGACCTCCCGTGATAGTGCAGTCCCTGAAGCTAACAACCGCGAATCGATTATGCTTTTATTTCATTACTGTCATCGTCCGTTCAACTAATTCTGTGCTAACCACCATTAGAGTAGATGGCTACTGGGGTTGTGTGATGCACGCACCAGTCACTTTAGTCGGTGTTTCAGTTCTTGTGGTCAGTTTAGGAAATATATATTATGCTACCTAATATTCTTTGGAAACAGTCCTTCACTTGACCAGTCTTTTATCAGAACAAAAATCGTAAGCGGACAGAAAAGGTGTTCCGAAAATCTGAACGGCAAAAAACTACACACAGGAGTGTCTTATCAATCTATCCGCTAGCACTGGATCAATCAGCTATCACCAACAGTCTGAGAAAAATTTGCATATAACTCCAAGACTAATTTCTCAGTCAGTAAATACTCTAAATTAACTTGTCCATTTTAGATTTTCTAAAGGCTAAGTAAGTTTATATCTTATTATTCGTTCGAAACTCAGTGGCGAATTAATATGGTATGTGTTATTTACCAAATTTCCAAGTGATGTTATTAGCTAATTTATGTATTCCATAGTCATGCAAGGAGTTAGTTGTTGTCTACATAGATCAATCATAGCTCATTCAAATAAAATTCATCTGATCACTCGCAGTTGGATTAGTTTCCACTATAATCTGGACACACATCGATAACAAATCTGATCAAACACTAAGGAGAGATCAATGGCTTCCTTATGATTAAAACTGAATACACAACACTGACTAGTTATTGTGTGGACAAGAAATTTACAAGTAGGATTACTTCTTACTGTTTAAGAATCACATTTCTAAGAGTAATACAACCTGAATAAAGGCATTAGAAAAAAATTATTAGATTAATATTGTTATTCTATTTACTGTTTTGTACAGTCACAACATTTTGTATGGACTAATGCTTGTCGAAATTCGAGACAGAAAATCTTTCTGAATACACGTACATTTGTATCTAATTCTTAAAACACAGACTGCTTTTTATTTCGATATCTATCAGCTTTCTTCGAGTTAAATGACTGGAGCTTAGTTCCTGTTAATATTTGTAATTAAGAATACCTTATCTGGAAGTTGTTACTAAGTTTTCTCACAATATCTTGGAGTAAATGTTATCTCAATGAATGACAATTTTGATTTAAATGTGCAGAACTCAAAACCGTACAAGATTGAGTCATCAAAATATTTTTCTAAATGAGGAGTATGAGTGATTGACATTAGTTCGAGTAATCCAAATAATTACCCTTTCATCTACAGTTCAGCTTAGGTTCCCGACTGTAACTGCTACCTTGACGTGGTGGTCTGGCTTGCCTATCGTGATTACCCAACCGAGCTATATTGGCTGGAACACATGTTCCTGTAGGTTCTACCATGCCAGGCAGGTCGATTAGCGAACGGTAAGACTAAAGTCAGCAACTCAAGGTCTGAGGGCGAAGTCGTACTGCTGACTGTAGAGGGGTGTGACAGCAGTAAGGTATTTCCCTCGGACAACCAGCATCTACAGCGATGCTGCCTTCTCACAAGGAAGGAAGGGGTTAGAAAAGGTTGACCCTAAAAATGTCACACCTCACCTTACCCCACGGATTTCCGTCTCCGGCGGTAAGGCCCTTTGAAGAACGGAGCTAACACATTAAAGACCTCCCACAAAAAGGCCGTGCGCGACCGGCCTCAAGCAGTTGTCCCTTGGGCTCTGCGGTCACGCACTCAGGTCGCTAAGACCAACACTAATCCGATTTCCTTTTCAGGTCCCTCAAGAAATACCCTTCCACGGTGTAGGCAACTGGGAAGTGATATCAGCCCTCATACCCGTAACAACACACGGGACCAAGTTGGTCACATTCAAATTCTTCCTACACCTCCTAATAACTCTCTTATCTCCATGACCAACCCTTCTCACATCCCTTTATCACCTCACCGCCAGTGCAAACGATTTGAGTACACGGAACGTTATTCCTGGTCTCCTGAAATCACGCTCCAAACTACACGTAGGTGCTTTCGACGTTTGAACACTGACTGACTCAGCTTAGGTAAATTCATCTCAAATTATTGTTACAACTCGTTTTCCAATCCTGATAAAGGACTAATTCAAATAATAGAGCACTAAGCGGAAAGAATTATTGTCTCTAATAAGATCATGTGTAATGTAAAAAATATTCTTTTTAACTCAATTCAAGAATTTGAAGACAGAAATGAAGTCAGTAGAGATAATGACTGTAACATTTGAATTATAACAAGTCGATACTTTCGTAACCAAGAATTTTCACAAAAGACTAGTACTTGAACGAAGAATATTTTTTTCGATAAATTCTCTTCAGGTTCTACGATTATATATCCAAATTAATAATCCGAAAAATGGCCAGGTTAAGGGTAAAGTATATCATTTAAAATTAAACCATGTGAATTTAGGATTGTGATAAATAAAATACAATAAAATTGTTAATGTTGATATGACTCATATAGAATGTTAACTTGAATCTGCGTATATGTTAAGTGAGATTTTAAGATCCGTGATCAGAATAAATGCGGGTCAAGTAGGGTGATGTACTTTACCCTTAACCTGGCCATTTTTCGGATTATTAGTTTGGATATATAATTGTAGAACCTGAAGAGAATTTAACGAAAAGAATATTCTTCGTTCAAATACTAGTTTTTTTAATATGACGGGGATCTTTAAACAATTTTCACAAAAACTAACACTGACGAAACGTAAAATAATGAAATAAATGTGTCATATCCGAACATTCAGAAATAATACATTAAACAAATGTAATTCTAAGCTAAATGACAGAATTTTTGTTAGTATTGACACTTTCATAAAAGCTATAAGCGTTTCTTTTTCGTTAGTTCTCTCTAAAGTTTCCTTTGCTACAATACATAACAAATTCTTCTTTCATTATTATAAGTGAATTTGCTTTTTAGAATTCTGATTCAATGCATTTGAATTTTCATCTTAGATTCAATTTCTTCACGTAGGCTTAATCAATTCAATTCAACAACCGAATATAAGTTCGTTTACTTCAAACTTTGAGTTAAAAATCTGTAGTTAAATTAAGTCGGTCTGAAACTTATGAAGTATTAGTTGAAAGACGATGGCTTTAAATTGATTACATTATGTAAGAATACTCTTGTTTATCTAATTTCACTTCGTCTTATATTATTGATTAGTTACTGATTTTGAAAAGTTAAATATTCTTTTTTA